GGGATTCAATCAGGTGAAAAAGAAGCCCATCCAAAGATGGTGCTGGCTTGTGTTGACTTCAGTACCCGGTACTGTTTGTCTTCTGCAGACCATGTCGAAATTGTCAATTCATCATCATATCTTTGTAAACTCTGAAAAGTCTGAAATCTCGCTATTGTCAGTCTTAATCCTTTGGACACTGACATAAGGCCTATATACTAGCCTCCTAGGGTAAAATTGGTTGAAAACTGGCTAGAATACCTAGCAGCTGGTATACTGGCCGCCACGTGTGCTTGTTCGTTACTGATTGGCTGAACAGATACCCTTGAAGGCCGCTCGGGTCCTAAGGGTTAATCTATAATTCGATGCTAACTCGGCTCCTCCCAATATTATATATTTGTACATACTATGTATACACAAAAACATGGTTACCCATTTGAACATCTTATATCATGTTAATTATATTCCAATAATTCATTACAAATGCCAAATTATGTTCAATGCAATTATTTGTAGATCGTAAGTTATGTTTATATTATGTTGTCAAAAGATGTATATTTTGATCCTGTTATTCTTATTTTTCCTTTTTTTATGTAATGTCCCCTTAGTATTAGCTAAAAGCATTATGCAGTATACAGAATATTCCACAAATTAATGTTGTTAACCCTTTAGCACCTGGTACATATATCGGAGCTGCAGTGGACCGACTGGTTAAGGTTGAAAACCTCTATGGCCAAATTTGCCGGTGGCCGAAACATGGTACATTCGTTAAAAGAGCCTACCATCATGCTATCAAATGAAATGTTAGACGATGAAGTGGGTTTTTTTCTGGCATGAAAGAACTATTTTTTAAGATAATATAATTTACTAGAAATCTGGCCACCAAGTTCCAGTTTCCTCCCACTGCTAAAGACCCCTATGCGTAAGCGAATTATTGAAATAAAATTCAACCATGTCTCTCTCTCTCTCTATCCCCAGTGGTCTTGGGGAGACACTATTCAAATTATCTGCCCTTGATGACTGTGCTATTCTTAACAATCAATCAAAAGTATTGTTAAATACAAAGGAAGTTGGCGAAGGAAAGTAAGTCTCATCTTGTTGCAACAAACAAGCGGCCACATTATTATGAAGTAAGCAATGAGGCTAAGACTGGTTTGTAAACTGTTTTTTGATTGGTTCGTAAAATCAAGCTATGATCAAGGGCAGATAATTTGAATACGTAAATACTTCCTTGGATGAACCCAGGGTATAGTGTAGTGGAACAGAAGGAGACCACTAGGGATACCGAGGATGTAATTGGTAGGCTACCAAAATATTGTTTGTTTACAATCATGTTGTTGGAAAATAAACGATGGGCATTATTCAAGAATATCAATAGTACTGAAGCTTACATTGTTAGAATTTCTAAATTAATATACATATTCAACAATTCTGATATTAATGACAATAAATTAATTGTCTTGCATAGAGTTATTTCCCTTGTAGTATTGTTTATTTTAATTGCACTACATATTCAACAATTAGTTTGATTAAAAGTGGAATTAAAAACGACAAAGTTTTCTGGATTACATTGAGTTATTCCCCCTTTAAGGTTGTATAATTGTACTGCTATATATAGTAAAAGATGTTATTACATGTAGATATGTATATTTATATAGTTGTTAAAATAAACACAAAATGCATCAAAATTGAATATTTTTTTTTTTTTTGGTATTGCAACAACGCAAACTAAAACTAAAAGGAAGTTGCATTTGCAGAGGGGCAGTGAGGTTTGGGGGGGGGGGGCACTGTCTACAGTAGGTATTTTAGAGCTACATGTATGGTCGGCAATTTTTTTTCGGGGGGGGGGGGGGCAAAACATTTTCTTGTCCCCTGCTGGCTACGGGTCGGAGGAAGACCACAGTGACTCTGAATCTGTAAGGCACTTGGTAACTTTCTCTGAGAATACTGGTGTTGGCAGGTAAAGTTCACAGTTTTTTTCAGCCTGGTTTCCATGCAGGACAAAGGGCCTGGCGAGGAACAGTGCCTAGTCATTCGGAAAGATGAGGTCCTGTGTACACATTGGTGTGCCGGTGTGGGGGGGGGGCCAGAGGCTTAGCTGTGAAATATATATTTACGTTGCTGGCTGATTGGGCGATAAATATTTGGTTTAGGCGGTTATGTTTTTGGATCCTACATGCGATTCACTCGATAAGTAGCAGAAAAAAATTAACAAAATATTACTGACAGGCAAACTAGACACAATTTTATGGAACACAGGTACTTTTCACTTCACACATGTTGCCAGGCTGATTATCTCTGTGTTTTATTTTAGCAGTATAAACCATATTGGGATATGTACAGGTTTTATACAGATAGAATCTTCACTAATCCTAATAATTGTTGTAAATAAATAGGAGTTTGGGGGGGGGGCCATGTGTGACGCCCATGGGGGGGGGGATTGCCAAAAGGTTAGCGTGGGGTTGGATGGCCAAATGGTTATGTGTGCGTTGTATTATAAGGTCTGTCATTGAGTCAACTGGTGTGGTTTTGATTCCCCAGTTGTACATGAGTAGGGTTCCCTCTCCAACCTCGTGTGTTTTCTCCGGGTCCTCCCACTGCTAAAGACCCCTGCACGCAAGTGAGTTATCAAAATAAAATTGAACCGTATGTTAGTCTCGACATGCCCGAGTCTGTGTTGAGTGGACATTAAACCCCATTTCTCTCTCTCTCACATTGATGTGCACGTAAAATAACCCTTGACAGTTGGATTAGATGCATCCTCGGTATCCCCAGTGGTCCCATTTCATTCAACTCTACTAATTCCTCGGTTCATCTATGGGGGAAATCCGTATTCAGATTATCTGCTATTTTTATTGACCAATAATAGGATATGCTTGATAGCATAACGATTTGCCACTGCCTGTTTTGATTGATGTAGCACCATGAGTCTTTCTGTCTGACGTGGAGAGCGTCTATGGGAAACCGGTCGCCACATCCTACGTACGACCCATGCATCTTTTCTTACTACATATTTCTGTAGCCTTGTGATCGTCTAGAATTTGTCTGTAGCTGTCTTTACTTCTGCTTCACGTTGTGTATTTACTTCTTCCAGTTTCTTAAGATGTTTGTCTTACCAGGAATAATAATGCATAGTTCGCTTCTACATTTTATATAGCATATAACTGAATACAGGTATACAAGCATAGCACAAATTACAATACTATATAGCTAAAACCAATTCTCCACCCTATCCAGCCTCTCGGCTGTCTAGGAACTCAGATGTACCCTCGATCTCTGGAATCTAATGCAAGTCTGGCGAATTCTCACCAGTATCCTAATTTTGTATCTACTGGTTTTGGACATTCAATTATCCAATTGGTCAAATATGATGTAAATAATTATAGAGATTGGTTAATTAAGCCCAATGACGTCGACAACCCACCCTTATATGGTGGAATGGAATTTTACTGAAGAATATTCTCATGAGATATCTGTTAACATGTTGTTGACATAGAACCAGTTATGTTATGGCTCTACAAGTGTTTTTATATCACAATATGTCATTTAAACCCTAAGTTGATTTAAGTATTTTAAGTACATATCACATATTATGCGAATATGTTATTTCTCGAGCAAAAATTCTACTAAAAGTATTACATTGACCTAAAAACATCTTTCTCATCAAAAAGATGTTTTAGGACCTCTTTTTGTGTGCATGTCACATCTTACATATTAATTTTTTTGTAAACTTTCTCACTGAGCAAAGAAGCCACCATATTATTGTGAATGTAAACAATAAGGCTAAGACTGGTTTGTAAACTGTTTTTTGATTGGTTTGTAGAATCAAGCTATGATAAAGGACAGATAATTCTCCCCATAGCACTGCATGGTGTATCCCCATCGTCATGGACAGAGTGATGCAAAAAAGTAGTTTGTTAAACCCCATTTCTTTTGTAAATTTGGGAAGAGATGTAGCTATGAAGGAAAAATTGAGTCGAGGGAGTCTGAATTTAAGCTTCTAAATATAATTACAGAACCATCAAGCCCTTAATATAGTTCAGTTATCAACATCTGGTGCCCCTTGTATACCCAAACTAGGTCAAATTGGTTTCCATTGAAATTAAACATGCATTATGCAAGAGCAAAATCTGCTTATTACAAGTCTTTCTTTAGGCCTGAAATGTTATCTAAATTATCAATTAGACATTAATTAACTTATCCAGACCATAATAAACTCTTGATGTCAAGGCTAGCCTTCGATGTTGGCTGAATTAGATTCCTATATGCCGCTAACGGCCGTTGATAATTAAATCAATAAAAGTGGATAATCGAGACTAAGCTGTTTATAATAATGATTTTAGTAATGATGACCGAGACTATGCCAAAATTTCACCCGCTTCTTTCTCGGCTCATAGTGGATCAATTTGACTGAAATTTTTAGCAAATTACCTTTACACTATCTAGTTTTTTACTATTATAGCGAGAACTGCCATCTCGTTATCTTATCTCCCATAATGTATATTTAAATCAAAGAAATTTATCAAAATACACAATGTCTACTGTACAATTGATTGATGTTTGCACATTAGGATATCTTGAACAGTTTGTAAGATATGCTCTAGAATCAAAACTGGGGAAAAAGACAGGGGCCCATTTCAATATCATGCCATTAACTTTGTTAGGCATGGAATACTTAAAATAATATGGAGACTCACAAAGAAATCACAAAAAATAACATGTTTTAATTGCAGTGTGAAATAATAAAAATGTATATTTCAACAATATAATATTTTAAAACAATAAATTAAAAATAAAAAAGTGAATTAATTGACAATAAATTATGATAAAAATATAAATAAATAATTAATGAAGTAGAAAGACCACACCAATTTGATTATCTGTTCTTCAGGAACACATATAAAAATTTTCTGCTTATGTCGTCAATAAAAAGACTAATTTAAAAACCAAAAGTACATGGTTGCACTGTTCAAAAGCTTTTATTTCTAAATGTTTATGTTTTGAAATTTTAAACACCCCCCCCCCCCAAAAAAAACCCCAGGTGATTCAAGTGGTTATTTATCAAGACCCTGAAAATTAAATTTGTTTGGCCTAGTATAAATTATACTATTACTAATGTTATTAAAAAAAAGGTGTTAAATAATGATACAAGTCATATTACGCATTGCAATCAATATGAGTCTTTCTTCTATCCTAGATAATTACATTTATTAATATGACTTCAAGGTACATATATATTTTAGTGTAGATTAAGCAATGAAAGATTAGATATTGTCTTAAAAATGCAAACTATGATCAGTAACTTTATTTTCTATATAAAAACATTTCAATTTTAAATTGTGTTTATCCATATTAATATAACACAAGGTACAATTTTATGGATACATCATTTGCTTGATAAAGACCAAAGTATCCTCGTGGAAACATTGCTTGCTCAGTAATTGTACCTTGTGTTAATATGTTCAATTACTAAATGCCAATCGAAGATGACATATTAATATACATGCACGTTTCCAGAGAATTTACAAAAAAAAATCATATTATTTTATTCAATTCTTGGTTTGGTTTCAATTCTATCATATTTCTCTTGAATCATATCTTTAAAAATGTGCAATAAATCATATACATTTTATATTATGAATGTATAAACAATATTATATCTAAAAACTAAATTTTATTCAATCTTTGGTATACTATTCTAAATCAAATTTCTATTTATGTGCAATAAATCATATTTAATATATGCATGTGTTATACAATAATATATGGTGGCTGAAAGCGTCCATTTAAATCGGCGTGTTTCTAGATACAACGCAAGAGTCGCCATTAAGCCACGCGCCGAAAAAGTCGCCGAAAAAATTGGCGCCTTTTTCGGCGACTTACTTAACGGCGACTCTCGCCTCAGAAGTTTATAGTTAGTTACATGCGCAATGGCTACATTTTACTTCTTGTATATAAATGGAGGAGCTTTTGGATGAGTTAGGACTTGTAGGCTAGCCTACTTTCTGCCACAGATGGAGCAACATGTGGCAAACTCTTGCACAAAAGCATGTATGAGGTTTACCATGAAAAACTTGAAATACACAAGCTGGAAGTAGGGACAAGTAAACATGCAATTTTCGGCCCTACATTTCAACCTAACCGACCTCTCAAAATCATGAATATTCACCAAAACCTGGCAGAAAATGTATTATCAAACCCCTTTCTTCGATTCTACACCAAAAATCGCCATGCAAAAGGGGGAAAGGGGAAGGGAGAGAAAGACTAAAAATAACTTTCGCCCTATTTGGTGATCTGTGTGCGTAAAATGTAGCCATTGCGCATGTAACTAACTATAAACTTCCGAGGCGAGAGTCGCCGTTAAGCAAGTCGCCGAAAAAGGCGCCGATTTTTTTCGGCGACTTTTTCGTCGTACTGGCTTAACGGCGACTCTTGCGTTGTATCTAGAAACCAGCCAATCTAAATGGACGCTTTCAGCCACCATAATAATATATCTAAAATATATCACAATATATTTAAACTATAACAATATATCTAATATATCTCACAATATAAAGGACAATAATAAATATAGTCTAGTACAAATATAATACTCACAGCACAATAAATGTACAAAATCCACAATGAATTACACTAATAAATGATTTGGCATTTCACATCTCAACAATTCTATTATAATACAATTAAATTATGATCAACATAGTTTCTATAAAAAGAAATAAAATTTAAAAAGTCTGTCATATTAAATTCTTAACAAGGCAATATAATTTGCATACAAAATGAATGACTGCATATTTCCGATGAGCTAACAAATGATGGAGGGACATTGCAAAGAGTTAACCTGAATAAAAGTTGAATAATGGTATTTAGTATTTAGTCTGTTGGTTTAGGGGGAAGAATCACATCTTTTGGTTCTGTCATATCAATTCTGATACCTGGAAAAATAAAATAAATAAATCTTTTAATTGATAAAAAGGTAAAAAAAAAAACATGAATAATAGTAAAGAATGAATATAAAAGAAAAGAATGAAAATTGACTGGCTTCTTCCTGTCTTTATTAGTTTTTGGTATTGTCATTCAGTTTTTAATGCACAGCTCTTGATACAGTCCTTTTTACCAGCTTTGAGTGACTGACAGTGAAATTGACCAGCTGGAGAACTGAACTGTCAGTCAATTTACAAGCCATAAAATTAGCTATTTCAAATAATTTAAAGATACATTATGGAAGATTAGATAAAAACTGGCAGTTCTCACTATAATAGTTAATAACTAGATAATGTAAAGGGAATATGCTGAAAATTTCAGTAAATTGCTTCACTCTAAGCTGAGAAACCCTTTAAAAATCACTGTAGCCTCAATTGCCATTGTTACTGTTGTCACGATAATTAACAAAGTCTTGAATATCCAGTTTGCGGTTAATTATCCAATGAAAATCGGACACATAAGATGGCATCGAAAGTTGATTATGATCTTTTCATGTTTATAAATGTCTAATTAATAATTTAGATAACATTTCAAGCCTAAAGAAAGATTTAGCTCTTGTATAATGTATGTTTAAGCATAATGTATGTTTAAGCGTAAAAACACAATCTGTAGAGTTAAAATTATAATTTTTATGAGTAAAACCACTTCAATATTGCTTTATAACACAGAATATGTTTAAATTTGTTGTCTTAACATGTAAAAAGCATTTTAAAATATAAAATTGATTTATAAATTGAAATAACCACAAAAATATGCATATTCCTTGACAAACAAAACAGGTACAGATACAGGGGATAAATTAACAGCGATCTATTTTTTCAAATTTTCTGGAGGAGACCACCCAGACACCCCCCGTTGTGTGCTTCTTGCCATGAACGCTTGTAAATTGTCACTACAACACTTCAATGGGGATTTGAAATTTCTGCTGAAAATCCTGGCTCCACCCCTTACTTATTTATCTGAGATAAACTAAACATGTGAAAAACTGACTAATATTTTAACGTACCTATATAAGACGGAAATCGAGGAGTACCAGAGTTTGTATATTCCTGAAATTTATATGTTATTATTGTTCCTTTTTTAGGTGGTTTTCTTCGATCTGCATCAGTTAACCTGAAAAAAGAGATTAATTAGGAGGTCAAACACAAATGACTTACACTGGGAAATAAAAAGGGCTAATCAAATTTCAGAAAAAAATGAGATTGATATACTTAGAAAGCTCTTCAAGAACCAAACCAGAATTTGGATTAGTTCAACTACTGTGGCACCCAATAGGATATATTATAGTCAAGGTGGATGTGATTGGTGGTTAAACTTACCCAGAGCCAACATAAAACTGTTTTCCATTGGCCATTTCTACCAATAAGGCACCTGTAGCATTATGAAATCGTCCAGTACCAGGCTTATAACCTACAACTCTAGCCTAAAAATTAAAATATACAGAAACTATAATAACTCTAAATGACCCAACTTTAGACTCAAATTATATAAATAATTTAATTATTACACACTGTCAACTACTGTTTGGCCATTTGTTTATGCCATTGTTTTGTAGTCATGGTTGCATGGTAAACATGCTTATTGCTAGTAAGCACACCCATTCTTTCTTTGTTAGGAAGGTACGAAAAAAATAAGGTCCAATCGTGTATTCATTCGCATGCACATAAAAAACACATTAGTCACACAAATCTGTTTTCTGTTTATTTGAATCAATGTACATCTGAAATTTTAAAGAAAAACTGTTTCGTTTTTTTTTCTGTCTTAAACTGGGATAATTAACAAAAAAAAAAGAAAGCATAAAAGAATTTAGATTAAAAGTAAACATACCTCAGCATCATGGAATTTTTTAATCTTTAAAAGTGTTTTGGATCTTGATCTGTCATATTTCGACTTGGGTTGTCTGATCATTAAACCTTCACCACTTAAAGCTAAAATTCTCTTCATTTCTTCTTTTATATGATCTTTACCTTTACATTTTGTTTGTTCACACAGTACAGCGTACTTGAGACTATCAAATAAAAAAATGAATTCATGTAGGTTAGAATTTATATTTCAAACATTATATTTCATCTGTTCATTCAAGAGAGGGGGGGGGGGCTGGTGGTTGAGTGGACTAATGCATGCACTTTGGATCATAAGAGAGAGCGAGAGAGAAATGGGTTTTAACGTCCACTCGACACAAACTAGGTCAGTTCGGGACTAACATATGGTTTTAATTTTATTTCAATAATTCGCTTGTGCATAGGGGTCTTTAGCACTGGGAGGAAACCGGGAAACCCGGAGAAAACCCACGAGGTTGGACAGGCGACCCTACTCCTTGTCACGTATAACCGGGGATTCGAAACTACGCCAGTCGACTCAATGACTTTAGATCATAAGGTCTGTCATCAATGAATCAAATGGCATAGGGTAGGCATGGAGGTCACTGCTAAAGACCCTACACACAAGCGAATTATTGAAATAACACTAAACCATGTTAGTCCCAAAAAGATCTATTTTGTGTCAAGCAGACACTAAACCCCATTTCTTTCTCTGTTCATACAGTACAGCATACTTTAGGCATTAAAAGAAACTCAACACAATATATGCAGGCCAGGCCTCTCATTTCAGCTACATCTGCCAGTCTTGACTGCAGGGCATAAAAACTGACCAGCTGTCAGTCAATTTACATACTGTTAAATGATTCAAAGAATTTAACCATAAAACTCAATAAATACAGCTAAATTTCTAGTTTTTAAGGATCAAATGAAATGAAATGGGGTTTAACGTCCTACTGTTCTGCTCTGACTGGGCTAATGAAGATGGTTTAAGGATCAAACTTACTCATTAGAATCAAAATATTCTTTAATGGCTTCATATCGTTTTTCGAACGGTTCTTTCTCCAGGTTTGGAGCATCAAAAACATGGTATTTCACTTTCTTCCAGTCATCACATTCCTGATTTTTAACAATTTTCACGGTTGACTGAAATTTTCCTCTCCCACCAAATAATTCACCATCAAGATGCATATCAGTTGGTAAATCCTGAAAATCAAATCAGTTTGAAATTTTACAAAAGGCATATTACACACATTTCTCTTATAATTTAAAGATTTTACTTATTCAGGTATAAATTACTGAGATGCACATCAGTGTTTCCTGATCTGGGGTCTGGGGGACCGCAGAGTAAAAGGGATCCTTGAAAAAAAAAAAACGATAGCCAGGCTATTCGTGCAAGGAATAAATGATACATACAGGATGGACGCCTGTGCTCTCTCTGAAACTAATCATTGTAAAATGAATATTTGTTTTTACCTTTGTAAACCATTGTGGAGCTATAAAACAGTTTCCTAATCGAGAATAAAAACACCTGAAAAAAATTTAAATTGTCTAAATTAAAACATATTGAAAAAGATTTCAAAAGTTATTATTATTTATTACATTCACACTTGAATTCTGTTAATCGTGGGTAGGCGAGTATGACCCGGCAACAAAAGCACATCTAGTCATTTGAATAGGACGAAAAAAAACTGATGTTTCGTGTATACTGTATACCATAGGCATTATGTTAAATATTTTCCAGCAGTTGGGAACTGAAATAAGAGTAAGCTGCAACACCTTTGTCCAGGTAAAATTACCCTAATCACACACCGCATGGCATATATATACCAGTCTTCATTAACTTAGTTTGTGGAGAAAAAAAGGATGTTAAACCCCATTTCATTTCATATTGGTTTGTTACCTTACCTTCCATTCCAGAAAGCTCGGACACCATCTAATTTCTCACTCATCCACCAACCAATTGGATCATTAACTCTGTAATAGAACAATTATTATATTAGTAAATGCTTGTCAGTCTTTCTGTTTAGTGAGCAAAAATTATATTAAAGCCTTGTCCACAAAAGTTACCTCTTGCAATAATGCACCCTGTTTTATACCAGATTTGTTCTTCTAAGACCTAACGTGTTATGTGAGTGTATGTTTTGTATATTTGATCGGATATAAATGAAAAATTGAAAATTAAAGATTATTTAAAGTGTCTGTCTCTATTCGTCATATGTGGGATTGAGGAATCCTTTGCAAACTATTGGGGGATCACGGTGGCTAAGTGGGTAAGGCGCTGGCTCGTTAGCCTGGAGGTCGGGTGTTCGATCCCTGCATTGGCCGAGAAAGTTCATCCAGATTTTCCGGCGTGGTTTCCCCTTGTCAGTGATGCAGGACGGAGGGCCTGACAAGGACAGCTGTCTAGTCATTCGGATGATACGAAAAACCGAGGTCCCATGTACACATTGGCGTGCTCGTAAAAGATCCCTTGGCAGTTGGAATTCGATATAAGAGTAGGCCGTAGTGCCGCTGTCCGGGCAAAATTTCCCTCATAGCACACTGTATGGCGTATGCCCGTCTTCATTAGCCCAGTTCGGAGCAAAACAGTAGGACGTTAAACCCCATTTCATTTCATTTCATTGCAAACTATTGTGAAAGTTAAATCTCTAAAAGGAATATCTATCAAAAATTGGTTCAATTTCCTTCAGTATTATACAAAGATCTGGCAGGATTTTGGCATACTATGCACATGATATTAAAGTGCCACCTATAAGGTAAGATCTTTTGATGGGCCCCCTTTTAATCCACACCTGGAGATTATCTACCTTTAATTAAATGTTAAATAAAGGTAATCATTTTAAGTACATTTTAGCATGGATTAAAGATCCATTATGTAAGGGCTAAATCGGCCTGTAGCAGGTTTTTATTTTGGCTTCACCTGTTATATAAATTATTATTTAAACATTTATACACATGACAAGCCTATAATCAACTCTCTAGACCATCGGATGGAGAAAATGTAAACAGATTAAAATATGATCGTCATTTAATTTAAAAATGGAGAAGCGAGGCTGAGTCTGGATTAACTTCGAACAGTACGGTAATAATGTTGATCAGAATAAAGTAATTTGAATGAAGTTTTCAATATATTAATTTTGAATTACGTATTTTGGAACTAATATAGGAAAGATGGCCAGCTCTTTATCTAAATCTTAAATAATGCATCTTTCAGTCATGAAATATTAAATATTGTCTGAAAAATGTAAATAATGATCAATGGTTATAATAAATGTTTTGTATAAAAGAAATGCTAGGCTTACTTTTCATCATATTTATGTGCTAATAGTAAGCTGACATTAATATGTTGTTTTATGATTTTTTTCTTTGGCTTAGCATCGGCTACTCGGTTATTTTCAAATTCTTCACCAAGATATTCTTTAAGATGTTTACATGTCCTTTCAGCAATTGGTTCAGATAAACCCTTCCATGTGTTACATCTAAAATAGAAATCATATCCGTAGGTCAACCAGTGTATTTCTAGTAGAAATCTTCTAACCGAGGAGGATACTTGTCGAAACGTGCTTTTAGAATAAAACTAGTGATGGTTTCCCATAAAAACTGTGTTCTGTTAATCAGAAGTAAAAGAAACATACCAGTAAGAATTTGACAATGAATGAAAAAATTATATAAATACATGTATAATTGAAATGAAATAGGGTTCAACAATCAACGTTCTACATTTCAGCATGAACTGGTATAACGGGCATACCCCCCTCAGTGTGCTGTGAGGAGAATTTGGCTTGGACAGCAGCATCTCTGCATACTCTTCATCAAATTACAACTGTCAAGGGATCTTTTACATGCATGCCAACAAATACACGGATGAACCTCATTTTTTTCTACCCTTATTTCCTGTACATTGTCAAGGGAAAACCAGACTAGGAATCCTGAGGGAGTTTTTCTGACACAACCTCGATCAAACCTTGGATCTCCTGTTGAATGAGCCATCATCATACTCTTTAAAATGTACTTTATTTAATGTACTATAAACCAAAACATCCTTCATACATTTTGTTGACATTCAATTTGCACAGATTTTGAAGTCCTTAAAAACTTACGTGCAAGTGTAGTTATCTCCCTTTCTGGTTAATTTATATCCAGAATCAAATTCAACTGTTTGATCATCCATTAAAGCATTGATTAGTTCTTTACTTTTACCACGAGTCTTGTGCTCTGCTTCATCTACAAAACATTAAAGGGGCATTAGATTATATTAGATAAAGAGTTGACAGTTCTTGCTATAGTAGTTAAAAAATAGGTAATGAAAAGGGAACATGCTGAAAATTTCAGTCAAATTACTTCATTCTGAGCCTTGATTGTCATTGCTACTGTTGTTATGATAATAAAAAAAATCTTGATTATCCATTTTTAAAGTTATTTCATCAACCGCAAAATTTTGGTTGTACCTTACAAGGATCAGGCAGTACTGCCCCTACTGTTCTGAACTTTGATAATGATAATCATATCATCAATTATAAAGCATGTTAATATTGAAGAATAGTTTCTAAGGCGCTGTTTTGGTTGTTATATTCACGGTTTATTTACAGATCAGGGTATTTAAACAAGAATGTTTTTAGTTGAGATTTAAAATGTTCAGAACTTTGTGCCAGACATATTAATAAAAAAAACCTGACAAAAAACAAACATGTCAGACAAAAGGACAGACGCCAGGGAGATTGTGCCTAACAAAATCCAAATTAATGCATGACATTGTCTGTAACAGGTGCCTTATTTCCATTCAGGATTCCAAATGATGAAATTCTCACCTTTATCCATTTTTTCGTCAGGTATATCATCACCTGGATGTAAAAATTCTAATCTATGTTGTTTTTCTTTTCTATAACATTTATTCCAATATTTACATTTCCCTTTTTGACTGACAAATTTCAACACTGGGGGTGTCTCAGCTGCAGAAGATGTCGAAACTGTTGGTTTTTCATTTGTCGTTTTTACTTTCTTTGTCTTTGAACTTCCCATCACTTCATCATCCTAACAAAAATCACAAATTTACATAATAAAGTATCAAACAAATAAAATGGGTTTTATGTCCTACTGTTCTGTTCCGACTGGGAACCTCCAGTTTAGCTACTCCCAATACTGCACCAAATAAATTACACTGTTTAATTTGAAGTAAACGACTGGGTATCAGACAAGCAATTGGATATCTAATTTAAAAATGATTGCCGGTATATTTTTGTTACTCCATACCAACTTACAAACGTTGTGATAGTTTTATAAAATATTCAATCCAAGAGGGCAAAAAGGGGCTTTGACTCAACTGGTCAATTTTTGACATACTATACTTACCTCAGACAATTGTTTAGTAGGGTTCCAATCTTTTAATATTTTAAAGTGTTTTTACACATAAACAAATCTGGACATCAGGCACCAGTCACCAACTTTGTCAGACACAAATTATCACAAAACGTATATATTATAGTGAAAATGCTGTGTGATAATTTGTGTCTAAAAAAAGTCTATGACAGGTGACTTCTGTCTTAGGCCTAGACACTAGGCTTAAACATAAAAGTTGAAAATTGACAGCCAGTTAAATGAGACCGGCAGATTTGATTGAAACAAGAATCATTGTTCGAATGCATATTTTTTATCTCATAACATTAGGTATAAGACTCTAAATAACGTACCTCATCATCACTGATGTCATGAGCTTTTCTTTTGGTAGAATTATCACTAGTACTAGGTTTAGATACATCTTTCATTTCAGTGTCATCATCTTTAACCTGTAAAGTTATTCAATTAAAATCATATTAAAAAAACAGTGAAATATAAATTGAATTTATTCTTGGGAGGTGTTGTCAGGTTGTCTACCAGTAAAATTTTTTTGGGGATGTTTATATCTGTTAATGCTGACAGTTTTATTGAGAATTGAATGAAATCATGAAGACTTACATCTGTTTTAGTTTTACTGGTTGTCGTGTCCATTTCCTCTGTTTAAAAATAAAAATAAAAGTTTATATTACTTCAGGAAATGAAACGAAATGGAGTTTAATGTCCTACTTTTCTGGGAGATCATGTGGCTAAGTGGGTAAGACGCTGGCTCGCTAACCTGGAGGTCGGGTTTTCAATCCCTGCATTGGCCGAGAAAGTTCATCCAGATTTTCCGGCGTGGTTCCCCCTTGTCAGTGATGCAGGACGGAGGGCCTGACAAGGACAGCTGTCTAGTTGTTCGAATGGTACGAAAAACCGAGGTCCCGTGTACACATTGGCATGCACGTAAAAGATCCCTTGACAGTTGGAATTTGATATAAGAGTAGGCTGTAGTGCCGCTGTCCAGGCAAAATTTCCCTCATAGCACACTGTATAGCGTATGCCCGTCTTCATTAGTCCAGTTCGGAGCAGAACAGTAGGACGTTAAACCCCATTTCATTTCCTACTTTTCTGTATCAAATGGGCTCATGAAGACAGGCACATGTCCTGCAGACTGCTATGAAGAAAGTATTGCCAGAAAAGCAGAGATTAATTTAAAAAAAAATAAATACTTGATTACTTTTATAAAATAATGATTCTTAATAATGAAGATCATTTAATTTTCTTCTATATTTTCAGAATTATAGCGCTATTACATTTAATTAAAGATACATTATGTAAGATTTAGATAAAGAGCTGACCATTCTGGCTATAACAGCTCAAAAATAGAAAATGAAAATATTCTGTTATCACTGTTTGTAGTTCTGACATGATGTGTGCATAGTGGTAACCAGGGCACTGGTATATTCGAGTCTTAGCCTGGCTTTCCCATTTTTAAATTAAATTTTTAAATGACGAACCTTTCTAATCTAGATATAATCTTGAGTGTCCGATGCCATCGAGAGTTGATTATGGTCTTGTTTTGTTCATAAATGTCCAATTAATAATCTAGATAACATTTCTGGCTTAAAGAAAGACCTGCAATAGGCCGATTTAGCTCTTGCATAATGTATGTTTAAATGTGTTTTCAATCCTTTTTTTAAATTTTATATTCTATTACAAAACAAACCTTCATCACTATCTCCAGGGTGAATATATTCTTTTAAATGAGCTTTATTTTTACGATAGCACTTATCCCAAAATGCACATCGAGATCTTGCGGTCAAAGCTGCTGCCATAACTAATGCTTTAATTTACTGAAGAAAAAAAAATACATTAGTCAATGAATAAAGTTCCTTATATTTCAATATTAACTTAAGATTGTAAACATCAATATTTTAGATAACACAGATAGCTACTTGATCAACTGTCATTTATTTTAAGGGGTACAATTTGAAGTTTAATTTCATGGAATTTTTCATTGGAGTAAATTTTGAGAATTTTTTTGATGGCCGAATGGTTAGCGTGTGCACATTTTATCATAAGGTCTGTCATTGAGTCAACTGGCGTGGTTTCAATTCCTTGGTTGTACGTGATTGACAAGGAGTAGGGTCGCATGTCCAACCTTGTGGGTTTTCTTTGGGTCCTCCGGTTTCTTCCCACTGCTAAAAACCCCTATGTGCATTCAAATTATTGGAATAAAATATAACCATATGTTAGTTCTAAAATGACCTAGTCTGTGTCGAGTGGACGTTAAACCCCATTTTTCTCGCTCTCTCTCTCTCTTTCTCTCTTGAGTATTTTTGGAATAGGAACTGGGACCTGACAGGTGACTGCTACTCATCTTCTTGTTCTTGTGGGCAACACTTTGAAAAAAGCCAAAGGCTCTACCAATTATTGTATGAACTACATGCATCTTGGTATCAGTTCCCACTTTAATTTGGTTTCAGTTTCCATCACCAATTGCTAGAGTTTCTATATTTAACTGATGGATCGGGCAATATCAGTCAATGTCCACTGTATATAATGCTTTAATATTTATTGTAATTCTTAATATTTACTGTAAATACTGTAACACTGTACATAATAGACCACCTAGCTGTTTTATATATCTGATAGAGGGCTGGCCTATATAAATGCTTATTGAAATATGTCCGTGATTTGACATTTATTTACTGTATCTGATCATTGTGTTATCACTAGAACACAGACCTTGTGGTCCATTGAAATTACTTCAATATTAAATATTCATAATCATATAAAACCAAAGAATGTGTGCAAACAGCTAGGCTAATTTATAAATTAAAGCTACCTGGTACCGATCTATAGGAATTAGATCAATTAATTATCTGTTCTTACAATTGTGTCAAACGTACAACTGAAAATTTCTTTCGATGTTTGCAATATAAGGTATTTAAATTTACCTGTTCAGACTTGATTTCACGACCAGTCCATTATAATGATAACAGGTAACAACACGAATGAATTTATTGACATTCCACTACACCATCACATTAATTTTTAGAATAGTATTTATATAGATTAGATGGCTTTGTTTGAGAAATAAATATAAAGCTTTACTAATGTCTCTGTCGGTGTTCGAAAAGAAACGTATTGTAATGTAATCTTGGCAGAATGAAATAAAAAATTACCAGGTGTAAAATGTAGGTCATAATTATAAACAGCTATTTTCTCTCAACCCGGCTAGGGCGATCCCAATCTAAAAATAAATAATGACGTAGAGAGTATATCTATTTTTAGATTAAACGCAACGTCATAATGACGTCATAAGTAAATACAGTGTTCTGATTATCAAGACTTAAAAATTGAGATCGGAGAAAGAAAATGGAAAAATAAAATTACCTTTCGAACATTCATTTATTTCCAAATCAGTACCACCAGGTATTTTTTCTTTAAAAATGGGGTTAATTTTCTATTAAATTCATAATAAGGTGCAATAATTATTATTTGGTATAAATAATTATCGACTGGATTATCGAAGCTTCGTCGAGATAAAAAAAAAGGTAAATATTAAATAAGAATTTGCTGTGTCACGCAGTAACCCGAAAATGTAACAGTAAAGTTAGAAGTTTTAAACAGCAGTGTTGTTTTTTTTTCTGAATCTCAAATTACTGGTTCGACTGACTGCCAAAAGAATGGAGCAGCAAACGGAACGGAGTGACACGGAGAGGTAAAGATTATGCTTTTTTATAAATTTACCAGATTTATTTTATTTTGTTCTTTTAGCTTCGATTAACAAGACACTGGTATTTGAATGTATACAGCGGGAAGTTTCCCGCTTCACAGAATATATCGATTCTGTCTGGCTCAATAATATCTAACATTTTTACCATTTTCTGTGCCACTTTTATTCACAACATAAAAATTAATAATCGCTATTTGTTTATTTTTATAAAACAAGGTGATAATAACCTTTTTTTTTAAAACGAAATAATGTTTTAGCGGTGCAGGTATTACTGTTAAAAAATGTTTTAGCTGTGCAGGTATTACTTTTAGTTTATGTCAATCGCGTTTTATTGACTGGCGTGTTGTTCAAGACTACTCCAGTCTGAAGTATTATCTCCCTTTGCATGATGACCAAAATTTTTACGTGAAAAGCTGCTGTTCAAGTTTTGTCTTGGGAATATCTGTACTTTTACTCCAGTAAATATATTCACGAATGCCAGAGCTATAGTATCAAATTTGATGTTATTTGATGTTGATGAAATGAACAGCGTAGCTGTTTTACTACCAAAAATACCATTACCAGTCAAGTGCCCTTTGAATTTACCGACTTTTTAATCGTAAATTATAACAGATCCCCGTGAACTTTAAACACATTCCAGTAGATTAATTTTATATGTGACGGTGGTGTATATTTTAAAAAATATATTTTATCATGAACTTTATTTATAATTTGTATCCAGTTAGAGCTGTGTTTAGTATTTTTCAAGTGGTGTAAGTATAGATCTATTAAATAAGGCCCATCCATGGATACAAATCATGTGTTATTATACTTAAATAGACATAACGGCCCTAAACCATAACGGCCAAAATAATTGGTCATAACGGGCAAAAACTTTGGTCATAGAAATTGGTCTTAACGGCCAAAAAAACCCATACCATTTATTACATGTACGAAATGATATTAACATAAATATTGCCTAATACTATAATAGATAATACCTTAAATATAAATTAATAAATACATACAATACATTATAACATTAATTTAATACGTAAATTTACATAGACATTTAACATAATGCAAACTATAATATTTCACATACATAATACATTGTATAAAACATACAAAATATAAAATTTATTTCAATAATATTTCACATAATACATCTAAATAAAGGATGCAGAATGTTGCACAATTTTCACAGCTTCACATCTTGGTAAATGCTGTACGAAATTAAACCATTATTGGTTGGCAAGGCATTCAAAATCCCTTAAATGACGACCAGGGCTTTAATTAGATCAATATATAATCCCAAGAAGGAGACAAAAAAAACTCACACTCAAAGGAAAAGAAGGGTGGAATAGTCCCTATAACACTTAACAGTACAAGCATGTATATGCATGATCAAATTCTATAATTTAAAGGGACAAGTCCAAAAAAGCTTGATTTCTTTTTGATTTTTTAGGACTAGCTGGATAACACCAAGAAATTGGTTTCGATGGAAACCCACTTCAGCAGGTCAATTAGAAAAAGTTGAACAAAAAATCCTTAACTGTAAGTTTTATTCATGTTCTGATTCTTTGTAAATTGGAAGCCATAGTGGATCAGTGTAAACCAGTAGGTCTGGGGTTCAAGAAAGATTACCTTTTGTTCGTGGATCCAACCTCGTGGGTTTTCTCCGGGTCCTCCGGTTTCCTCCCACAGCTAAAGACCCCTACACGCAAGCAAATTATTGAAATAAAATTGAACCATGTGTTGGTCCTAAAATGACCTAGTTTGTGTTGAGTGGCCGTTAAACCCCATTTCTCTCTCTTTCTCTCTCTTGTTCGTGGAAAAAAAGCAGTGAGTTGGGACAAAAAGAGAGCTTATTAGTACATGTTGGCATGCACTTAAACAAACCTTTGGAATTCTGAGGAAACTGTCTTGGCCAAGATCGAAACTTTAACCTCCTGGCTAGTGTGCCAGCGCTTACTCACTGACCCACCTTGCTCAAAATATATCGGCCAGTATGAATGACATGTCACTGTACATAGTTTCAAAGACTTTTGTATACTGTACTTCCATCTAACTTGTTTTCAATATTTTTCAGATTGTAAAAATTTATCAGAGAAAAAGTTTGTGCCTATTAAATCAGAAGAGATATGGACAGTTGTTTTAAACAAAGAAAAAGAGGAAGAACACACTCCTCTTGTGATGGTTCATGGTTTCGGGGGAGGTGTTGGTTTATGGATACAGAATTTGGATGACTTGTCTGAGAAAAGAACAGTTTATGCATTTGATTTGCTTGGTTTTGGAAGAAGCTCAAGACCAACCTTTAATCGAGATCCGAATTTAGCAGAATCAGAATTTATAGATTCCATTGAAGAATGGAGGAAGAGTGTTAAATTGGACAAATTTGTTTTAATGGGACATAGTTTGGGTGGGTTTTTAGCCAGCGCATATGCTATAAAATATCCTAAAAGTGTACAACATCTTATATTGGCTGATCCATGGGGCTTTCCAGAGAAACCACCTGTGAATCAAGAACAACAGCGACTACCAGGCTGGATTAGACTGCTAGCTACTATGATAAAACCATTTAATCCACTGGCTGGTTTACGGGCTGCAGGACCATGGGGTAGGTTTTCTTAATCTTTAGTACGCATTTAACCCACTAGCACATTCACCGAGTCACATGAACAGTTATGAACTATTTAAAGCTATATACTACATGAAGTACATGTATGACTCGGGGGTAGTCTGAGGTCATCTAGTTAGCAGTAGTTTAGGGCGGTGTTGAAAATGAATTACAAAACCAAATGTAAAAAATCACATCATTTTTTATACGCCCACATTGAAATGTGGTCGTATATTGTCGTCGCCCCCGTCCGTCCGTCGTCCACAGTTGCTTGTGGACACTCTAGAGGCTAAAGTTAATATCCGATTGACTTCAAATTTATACACAGTGTTTAAGGTCATGAGACGAAGAAGTTTATTCATTTTCAGCGATTTTCGATAATTACTGCCAGAGTTATGGCCCTTGATCACTTTGAAAAATCTTGTAAATGCTCTAGAGGTCAGAGTTAATATCCGATTGACTTTAAATTTATACACAGTGTTTAAGGTCATGAGACGAAGAAGCCTATTGATTTTCAGCAATTTCCGATAATTACTTCCAGAGTTATGGCCCTTGATCAATTCAAAAAATCTTATGGATGCTCTAGAGGTCAAAGTTAATTTCCGATTGACTTTAGATTTATACACATTGTTTAAGGTCATTAGACGAAGAAGCATATTGATTTTCAGCGATTCCCGATAATTACTGCCAGAGTTATGGCCCTTGTGGACGCTCTAGAGGCTAAAGTTAATATCCGATTGAGTTTAAATTTATACACAGTGTTTAAGGTCATGAGACGAAGAAGTTTATTCATTTTCAGCTATTTTCGATAATTACTGCCAGAGTTATGGCCCTTGATCACTTTGAAAAAATCTTGTAAAGGCTCTAGAGGCTAAAGTTAATATCCGATTGACTTTAAATTGATACAGAGTGTTTGAAGTCATGAGACGAAGAATCATATTGATTTTCAACGATTTCCGATAATTACTGCCAAAGTTATGGCCCTTGATCACTTTTAAAAACATTGTGACCCTCTACAAGCTAAAGTTATCATCCGATTGACTTCAGATTCATACACAGAGTTTAAGGTCTTGAGACAAACAAGTATATTGATTTGCAATGAATTTTTATGACTTGAACAGCTAAATCCATGATGTTAAAAGTTTCCTATACTAAACGTTAGCATGGGGCAAAACTTTATAAAAACCAAACCAATTCTAATGGTTTTCTGATAATTACTTAATGAGTTGTTACTCTTAATCAGATTTTAATGTATTATAAATGTTTCATTACCAAAAAAGTAAAAATATGTGACAATTCTTGTTGACTGCCCGGACGATTTTGCTGCTGTGGGCGTATGTTTTGTTGCCTGGCAACCTATCTTCTGTATCTTGTTTTTCATCAGCTGGGAAAGTAAATTTTTATATGTACCAGGTGCTAAAGGGTTAACTCAAGTGATTTGACAAAATTGACGAGAAATTGGCCAATGACACCCTGATAAGAATTGAAAAATAGTTTAGAAAACTGAAATAACTGAAACAGCATTATTCCAAGTGTGATCTGTGCTAAAATTCAAATTTATTCATGTTATTTATCTCTCGAGATGATCACATTTAATGAATTAAATGGTAAACCTCCGTAGACAACCCTACCATATTGTGAATCAACACTGAAATTAATTGTTGCATGTATATATTTGTATTTTTAGGTCCATCCTTGGTTCGCCGTATTCGACCAGATTTAAGAGAAACATTTTCAGAAGTACTGGAAGATGATACAATTTTTAACTATATTTATCACTGTAATGCACAAAAACCAAGGTAAACATTAAACATACATTATGCAAAATCTAAATCTGCCTATTACAGGTCTTTCTTTAGGCCTGAAATGTTATATAAATTATTAATTAGAGATTTATTAACATGAAAAGACCTTAATCAACTCTTAATGTCATCGCTAGCCTGCGATGTTTATTGGATTAGGTTCTGATTTGCTGTTCGACTTCCATTCATGATTTAATTGTGAAATGAATAATCAAGACTATGTTTTTTATCGTACCGACTTTAGTAATGATGATCGAGACTAGACCGAAAATTCAATCGCTAAAATCTCGGTTCAGAGTGGATCAATTTGACTGAAATTTTCAGCAAATTCCCTTGACATTATCTAGTTTTTAACTATTATAGTGAAAACTGCCAGCTCTTTATCTAATCTCCCAGAATGTATCTTTAAACTCTTTATGATATTTATACATGTAGATACAGCATAAGAATATAAATATCTCTTTGTATGTTATTATCATCCATGTACATGTATATGTGAACATCCTTTAACCCCATGACTGTAAACTATTAAAGGGGACGTATGTTCTGTGACCTCAACAGTTTGAGATGGTCTAGGGAACAGTAGTTTCATGTGTTTTGGAAAATGAACTCTTGAATTCAATGTAAAAATAAACAGTACTTTTCTATAATTTTTTCATGCAACCAAGCTAGTCAATATCTACATGCTTTTTACAAATATGAAATTTCTTGGATTTAAATGGAAACAAAATTGATTATTTTTCTTATTTTTGCAGTGGAGAGGCTGCTTTTAAAACCATGACAATACCATTTGGATGGGCCAAATTTCCCATGATAAATCGTATGACAGATATCCCGAGCCATTTACCTGTGACCTTTATTTATGGGTCCCGTTCATGGATAGATAGAAGTGTTGGTCACAGGGTCAAATATATACGCAATGACAGTTACGTAGACATACAGGTACAGTAATTTATTTATTACTCATTTTATTTGGTGGTAAGACAATAGAATCTCGACTAGAATGTCTCTGCTTGGAATCCAGCATGAAATGAGAAAAGTGTTGCCTAGCCAGTGAGCTATGGCCATACACACTCCAGGCCTGGAAATAACAGTCCTAGATGTAGTTTTAGGCACCTGAGTTTTTGTGCCTGCCAAAGCCTGAATCTGTGCCTAAATGACTCACAGTGGTTCACTGAGTTAAGGCATGGTTCGATCCTGGTGTTGGCCGAGAATAAAGTACCAACATGTTTGGTATCTCCTTGCCAGTGGTGCAGACAGGAGGGTATGGCAAGAAACAGTGTCTAGTCATCCTGATGGTACAAAAAACCTTGATCCAGTTTTCATGTTACAATTGGAATTTGAAATACATTTGTAAGAGCAGGCTGTAGCACTGATGTCCCTCATAGCACAGTGCAGGGCATATAACTTGGAAGTTAATCCCCATTTCCTTTTAATTCAGACTAAATTTGAAGAAATGTGCTGGAATTTTCAAAACATGTATCCATGAAGTTTGTAATTTCTTTGTAGATTATACCAGGTGCTGGACATCATGTATATGCAGATAAACCCCAAATATTTGATAGAATAGTGAAGAAAATTTGTGATACTGTTGATCATAACATTGCTTTAGAACAAAGAAAATCGCAATTAGCTACAGAAAAAGAAAGAAATCTAGGCGATGAGGTGCAGGATGAATGATGCCATATTGTACTGTGAGTTTTAATTTGTGTAAACCAATGTGATATGACTTGATATTTGACTTTAGGGTGTCTATATTTTATTTAAAAGAGTTAAACCACAAACTCAATATTATCAATAACCATTTCAATCAATATTGATGTTACATTTTTACTATTTTTGTTTTGGTTTTGATTTCTTAATTTAATTTAATTGATGTTTCACATTGTCTGTGACAGATGCCTTTATTTGCAGGCTTAATTGATGAGCTAGGTTCATAGTTCCTGAATTAAAGGGACATAACTCTATTAAACATTTGGAAGCCACCAGCAGGCCAGGCACCATAATAATTATTAAGTATAGGAGCCTAATAAACATTATTGACAATCATCAATGGCACAGGACAGTTATGAATTGATTCACCGTTTATCAGGGAATGAAGAAAAAGCCAAATGACTATAAGTGGCTTTAACGCTTGAGCTCTATAGACTACTCTGATTCTGTAAAGAAAATTAGAGAAAAGTGACATATTTTATACGGGTATATACCCTGGATAGCCTGAAACCCTCTGCAACTACTGCTCCATGGACCCCCTCAAACTATCAGTGTTATGTGAATAACTCTCCGTATTGTAGGACCTTGGGTGCTACAGCTATTCACAGGACACAGGTGATTGGGCCGAGTTGGTCTACTAAGCCCTAGTGACGAGACGTTTCAGGTGGCCCAAGTCCTAATATACCATATTAATTTGAAGTTTTATTGGTTGAATGGGGTACATGATTTAATGTTGTATGAAAATATTAGTTTTATTTTTTTTTATTATAATGTTTTAAATACTGAATATAAATTGATTTTTTTGTTACATTTGTATTGAGACATTATTTTTTGTTTTATATGTATCTATATTGTCAAGGAATCTGTTCATCTTGTATTTATATGAATTATTTTTCTCTGTATATTTCAATGAAACTTCAACAAAACGTGCCTTTTGATATTTCTGGAACTTTGGAAGCGATGCAGTTAACTGTTTTTATATTTCACAATCAGATTTCAGCAGATTTAATGCCACATGTATTTTGTGATATTCTTTGCATAATTACGTAATTTAAATAGTATTTTATTCATTTAAAAAAAACCAAGTTGTTTGGGAAACAAGCCAAGGCTAACTAATATCAGTTATCTGAGCCATTAAAACTGAATACTGTAGACAGTGTTTAAAACTGATTACTGTAGACAGTGTTTAAATCTGAATACAGTTGACAGGTATTTAAAAATGAATACTGTAGACAGTGTTTAAAACTCAATACTATAGACAGTGTTTAAATATGAATACTATAGACAGTGTTTAAAACTGAATACTTTAGAGCAGACAGTGTTTAAAACTGAATACTATAGACAGTGTTTAAATATGAATACTGTAGACAAAATAAATGTTTAAAACTGAATACAGTTGACAGGTATTTAACACTGACAAAATGGTAGGATTTAAGATAGTAGAAATAGACGTGGTATAATGTCTTATAAGACAAATAAATGAGCTCTTCTTATTTCGTTGATTTACAAGATTGTCTGCTGTGCTAATATAACGAATCAAAGGTTCCTGGTTCATAGTAGTACTATCAAACTTGTTCTTTAAGAAGAGTGTATGTTAAAGACAGGCATATGCCATACAGTGTGCATTGATGAAATTTTGCCTGGACAGCGGCACTATGGCCTACTCTTATATCGAATACCAACTGCCAAAGGATCTTTTATGTGCACGCCAATATGTACACGAGACCTTGGTTTTTCGTCCCATCCGAATTATTAGACAGCTATCCTTGTTAGACCCTCTGTCCTGTAACACTGACAAGGCTCACATAGAATGCTGATTTTACTATTCTAAATCCTTATTCTAATGCTATTGGAATATTCTAAATCCTTATTCTAATGTTATTAGAATATTTTAAATCCTTATTATAATGTTATTGGAATTGGAATATTCTAAATCCTTATTCAAATGCTATTAGAATATTCTAAATCCTTATTCTAATGTTATTGGAATATTGTAAATCATTCTTCGAATGCTATTGGAATATTCTAAATCACTATTAGAATATCAAATTCAAATGAAACTAATAATTATTGGACTATTGTTTGGAATCAGTATATTTTTCATCTATATGTTTGTTTTGTTTATTTTTGAATATTAGTTGGTTTAGTGAATGAATGTTATTACCGGTGAATATTGCAGAGACAATGAACAGAGCAGGTTCCAATAGTTTTAATTGAATAACAATTACTAGATAATCTGTTACAATTGTATGTTTGAATATTTGTGTGTGATATCTAACAGAAATAGTTTAATAAAATACACTTTAGGGCTTGGAAAGAGTTTTGGATAAGATATCATTGTATCACAATGCCATTGGAGGCAGCATACAGCATGTACAAAATATGAAAACTATAAAAAAAAAGCCTTGAGACAGTCATCCTCTGTATCCCCAGTGGTCTCATTCAGCTCCACTCCACTATACCCCTGGGTTCATCCATAGTGGTAACATAGCGACTTGCCACAGCTTGTTTGACCGACATAAAAACATCTTTCCCATCTAAAAGATATAGGAGATCTTTTTGTTTGCATGTAACTTCTTTTATAAATTTCTCAGGCCGCCATATTGTTGTGAACGTAAACAACTAGGCTAAGATCAAGGGCAGATAATTTGAATGTGTGAATACCCCATGGATGAACTCAGGGTATAGTGGAGTATAATGGAATGAGACCACTGGGGATACCGAGGATGCATGACAGTAAGCATAATTGTGAACATGCATACCTGTATTATTTGCTTGATAAGGACGAGAGTATCCTCGTCAAAACGTTGCTTAGTATTAAACTCAGTAATTGTGTTTCCATAAAATTGTACCATGGGATAATAGCATAATTGTGAATCATATAAATGAAATGGGGTTTAACTAACATCCTACTGTTGAGAGACATTTTTTAATGTATTTATTTGATCCCGATATCCCTTGGTGTATGCTGATGTTTAGCAAAAGCACAATCTATAAAAGTGCATACAGCATCGGTTATTTTGGCTGGTTAGTTGAACATGTTGATGAAGTAAAAGGAATAGGGAAGGTAGTGTGAATATACTTTAGTATTAATTCATCATAGAAGTTACAGCAACTTTGAGTAGGAAGATTGACAGTATGTTGACTTTTAGTAATTATCTTTTATTATGAATTCATGTTGTTTGTGTTATAAAACAAGCAGTAGTTTTACTTTTAACTTGTTATTGATAAAAGATTTAAGGCATATTGAATACTGTTGATTATGACTAGTAAAATCTATTTATATTTTTACTGTAGAAATAACTTGCTATGCATGTACATGAGTCTGATGTAGGCCAAACCAATTTTGTTTTTATTTCTTTGAGCTCTTGATATATAAATAGCCAACCAAGCCTTGTGAACAATGTTTTGTTTAAGATTTCAAGACTTTTAAAATGGCAAATTAAACCTTGTGAGAAGAGCAATCAAGCACTTTTTGTTCAGAAATTAGTTTTGGGAAGGGTGGTGGAGGGGAGGGGTCGAAGAAATAGGAAGCAAAATTGGAATAGGTGTTCCAGAAGAACAAAAATTCAGATTGGTGTGGCCTAAGTTGCCAATACAACTTTTAATAATCTGATCAGGATTAAACTGCCAGGACAATATGTATTCATTGAATTTAAAGGCCCAAAAAGTCTATATTAGTACTTTGAAATTCATGACAGACAATAGTGTGTTCTTTCTTTGTGTAATGAATACCTTTATTGAGATATTTTATTATATAAAATAGACAAAGGATTCAATGAATACCTGTTATTAAACTATAGATTTCATGTGATTGTTCAAATATTTTATTATATGAAAAAGAGAAAGGATTCAATAAAAAAATTTAAACTTGTTGAATTAATGTTTTTTTAAATCATTTTATAAAACTGTAATGATTGAGAGATGGACAGATCTAGATTTTTCATGTGTGTTAGTATAGTATAAATCTTAAAATCATATTCATTTGGGAAGGATTATGGAAATGGGAATCATAGCTACAGTGTTTTTTTACCAAATAGTACTTTCACCATACATGGTGTTTAATTACTGTTCTCGTCTTGTGGACAGGGAATTCGTAACTGGTTAACGAAATCAACCATTCATGACTTGACAAAGCTCGCTCGAACCCACATAGCAGGGTTGACAGAAGTGTTAACTAGGAGTGCCGCTACCTGATGGGGATTAGCATTAAGAACCTCTACCTGTGATAGAGACTATTTGTATTCTGCTACATAAATGTTGTCCTATGAGGTTTCACCTCCACATCATTTCATCGAACTGGTACCTAAAAACTATTTACAAAAAAAGAAAGCCACAGTGGAGGTTGTAGGTTCACTCCCGGTGTTGGCCGAGAGAGGAGAGTTCTGAGTTCATCAGGATTTTCCGGTGTGGTATCCCTTTGTTAGTGGTGCAGAACGGAGGGCCTGATAAGGACAGCTGTTTAGTTGTTCGGATGCATGTGAAAGATCCCCTGGCAGTTGGAATTTGATATAAGAGTAGGCCTTAGCGCCGCTGTCCGGGCAAAATTTCCTTTATAGCACACTGTATGGCAGAACAGTAGGATGTTAAATCTCATTTCACTTTTTTTTTTAATTTACAAAAACAGACTTTTCATTCGTTCAGAGCCAAATTTGTAATACAAATTTTAAATCTAAGCCAATGAAAAGACTGCATCCATGGGCCATTGATCTCTATTGTGTCGCAGACTATACCATTAATTTATATTATTATTAGGGGGTCACGGTGGTGAATTGGGTAAGACGCTGGCTCGCTAGCCTGGAGGTCGGGTGTTCGATCCCTATTGGCCGGTGTGGTTCCCCCTTGTCAGCGATGCAGGACAGAGGACCTGACAAGGAGAGCTGTCTAGTCATTTGGATGGTACGAAAAACCCAGGTCCCGTGTACACATTGGCGTGCACGTAAAAGATCCCCTGACAGTTGGAATTCGATATAAGAGTAGGCCGTATGTGCCAGTACTGTCCAGGCAAAATTTCCCTCATAGCACACTGTATGGCGTATGCCCGTCTTCATTAGCTCAGTTCAGAGCAGAACAGTATTTGATGTGAACAACCGCACGATGACTTGCCGTGGGCGTATTTTCGTTGCCTGGCAAGCTAAAAAAAACTTCCAGGATTGCTTTTTTATCAATCTATTTTTTGTTATGTATAGGTTAGATAAGCAATAGTACTTCTTATATGATACTGTTATCTAGAAATCATATGGACTCTATAATAATAAGACCCAAAATTGTAAGTTAGCTGTTTGCCTACAATAATAAATATTTCCCTTCCTTGTTTTTCTTCGATAATTGATGTCTCCCTGTAAATAGTTTGCAATTGAATTGATTGCATCACCCTCTTGCGATTGAGGTTTTATATGTGGTCTGGGTGACAGCGAGCGCTCAACCAATGAGAGGTCTCTATTCTTGGGATTCCCCTCCTACAAGGACGATCATACCGCGCGGTTTCATCATCACCGGTAGCAATAATATGTTCCCATAGTAGCGTGTTACCTGTTACATTGTAGCCACATGGTTATCTGTGTTTAGTTTTAGTTTCACTAGTATTCTTATCTTTTAACCTAGTTCATAGACATTAGATCATAATTCACAAAAAATATGCCCGCCGTCAAAGCTAAACAGATTGATACTCCTTCAGAAGAAGGGGATCCTGGAAATGCCGTGGAACTAAAAAGAACATTAACTTTGTGGAATGGCGTGGCTCTTGTTGTGGGCTCTATTATTGGATCGGGAATATTTGTATCGCCGAAAGGAGTGCTGGCCGAGGCAGGTTCGGTAAGTAAACCGTGTGTCACATCCATAATTTTTCTAAAACATACATATTGTGTTAAGCGTTATAATAGAGGCTAGTCGATCAGTTGGTTATTATAATATATACTCACACCTACTGTACACTGTTCACACATAATATTGGCAGTCACAATACATTTATACATTATTTATTTATTTATATATATTTATATCCTTTATTTATTTCATAAAACACATATTTATTCAATAATTTGTTATTTATAATATATATTTTTTTTTATCTCCCTTCTAATCTTCTGCTAAACAGTAGATTTATATTAACAGTTTAATCTAGTCTCATTTTCACTGCAGACAGATGTGTAAGGAAATATTTGATTAAAATTCAGAATCCAATTGTTGTTTGACTGGATTATAGCCAAAAAATATGAAAAAATAAAAATACAAGTACCGGTATCTTCTCATAATGACAACAAAAATAGGTTCTCTCTCTTACTTCTGTACCTACGTACAATGAAGACATTTGCATTAATCACTCCAAAAAATATAAAGCTTATCAAAACGTTGATTTGTTTTAAAATTTCAAAAGGACACCGTTTTATCCACATGTTAAATTTAATAGCAAATACTGTACAGAAAATAAATACTAAAAATCAGGTGGCTATAAGTACATATAGGTAAGACACTGGTTCGCTAGCCTGGAGGTAGGGTGTTCGATCCCTGCATTGCCCGAGAAAGTTCATTCAGATTTTCCGGCGTGGTTCCCCCTTGTCAGGGATGCAGGACGGAGGGCCCGACAAGGACAGCTGTCTACTTGTTCGGAAGGGATGGAAAACCGAGGTTCGGTGTACACATTGGCGTGCACATAAAAGATCCCTATATACAGTTGGATGGAATTCGACATAAATGTAGGCCGTTGTGCCACTGTCCGGGTTAAATTTCTCATAGCACACTGTATGGTGTATGCCCGTCTTCATTAGCCCAGTTCGGAGCAGAACTTTAGGACGTTAAACCCCATTTCATTTCATTTCATTTACTAAAAATCAGTCAATTATTTGGAAAATTTTCCTGTGCAGTTTTTATGGTCTAGAGGGGTTTAAAAAATATGCAAATATTCGCTTTGAGTAAAATGCCAAAAATTGCAAGATGTAACTTTTCGTGCAGCATTGAGGAATGGATTGGATGTATAATTAATACATTTTTGAACCAGGTACTGGCTCCCTATCTGTGTATCTAATTAAGCTTACACCAAACAAATGTGTTAGATCCTAGTAATTAAACATTTAACACATTATGGAATGATACATATGGGTGTGTAGCCACTTCATCTCAAAATTATATATAATTAGCTTTTATTTGAATTGTGGGGGGTTGGATGGCTGAATGGTTAGCGTGCGCGCGCTGTATCATAAAGTCTGTCATTGAGTCGACTGGCGTGGTTTCGAATCCCGGTTGTACATGACAAGGAGTAGGGTCGCCAGTCCGACCTCATGGGTTTTCTCCGGGTCCTCCGGTTTCCTCCCACTGCTAAAGACTCCTATGCGCAAGCGAATTATTGAAATAAAATTAAACCATATGTTAGTCCCGAAATGACCGAGTTGTGTCGAGTGGACGTTAAACCCCATTTCTCTCTCTCACTTTATTTAAATTGGAGATTTTCAACTTTTATTTACATTTTAGAATAAATTGGGCATAAATAACTTTTATTTACATTTAGTTTGAACTGGAGATAATTAACATTTATTTACATTTAGGTTGAATTGGGGATAATTAACATTTATTTACATGGTTGAATTGGGGATAATTAACTTCTATTTACATTTAGGTTGAATTGGGGATAATTAACATTTATTTACATTTAGGTTCAATTGGGGATAATTAACTTTTTTTTTACATTTGGGTAGAACCTTTATTATACGCCCATCTTGTGGCTGTGTATTGAGTCCCCCCTGTCCCCCTGTTCTTTCAATTGGAGATAAAATGAAATTTTTATTTATATTTAGGTTGGAATGGCAATTGTTGTATGGGCAGGTTGTGGACTCATATCTTTAGTTGGAGCTTTGTGTTATGCCGAACTTGGTACCACTATCACCAGATCTGGTGGAGACTATGCCTATATTCTCGAAGCTTTTGGTCCATTTTTAGCCTTTTTACAACTGTGGGTAAGTAAAACATAAACACAAACATGTACAGTAGTAGAAAAAATGTCATAATCTATATATAGTATTGGGTACATGTTTGTTAATGGGGACCAAATTCGGATCAAGGTTTCTTCGGGCTGTAGGGAGTTCGACGAAATTGGCGGTTTGAGAACTAGCCTGTTGTACAGCAAGAAAAATAATAATATAGTCTGTAACTAAGATTAACTTCATTTTAGCTATCTTTAGCTAACAACTGATTGAGAATTTAAAGCAATATAAAACCATATCGGATCGGATCTTTCTATCGCTCAGAAAAACTTTCATCATACTGAGATAAATCTTGCGATGTACACTAGGATATGCTGCGGTCATCCTGTTTTATATATGCCCACATTGAAATTTGGTTGTATATTGCGTCGTCCCCGTCTGGCATCCACAATTGCTTGTGGATCCTCTAGAGGCTAAAGTTAATAACCGATTGACTTTAGATTTATACACAGTGTTTATCGTCATGAGACGAAGAAGCATATCTGATTGACTTTAGATTTATACACAGTGTTTATCGTCATGAGACGAAGAAGCATATCTGATTGACTTTAGATTTATACACAATATTTAAGGTCATGAGATGAAGAAGCTTATAGATTTTCAACGATTGCCGATAATTACTACCAGAGTTATGGTCCTTGATCACTTTATCATCTGATTGACTTTAGATTGATACACAGAGTTTAAGATTTAACATGGGCGTGTGATGAAATCATAAAATCTTTCCTTGAGTCAAGCAGCATGGTTTTGATTCCCTGCTTACGTGACCAGGAGTAGGTTTTATGTGTGTCCTTGGGTTTCCTCCCACTGCTAAAGACCCCTTACGCGCAACAAATTATTGAATTAATATTGACCTATTTTGTGTTCTGAATGTTAAACCTCATTTCTCTCTATATATATATAATTAGCTGTTCAGAGAGAGCTGAAAAGAGAGAGAGAAATAGGGTATAACGTCCACTCAACACATCGGTCATGCAACCCCCTAGCTGAAAAAAAGCTGTCCTTAATTTGCAAAAGTCAAAGATTGCTCTTCTAAAAATGCTAACCCTGACAATTCATAAAAAGAATTGACTGTCACTTGATAAGAGAAAAAGAAAAATAGAAAAAGTCTGTGCATTACAATGTTTTTATTAAGTAGAATGTACAGACTTTTTCTGTTTTTCTTGCTTTCTCTTGTCTCCTGACAGTCAATTCTTTTTATTAATTATTAGTTTCGAACAGATATCATCACAAAGCCTCATATAACAAATTTTCGTCTTCAAAGAAATTAACAGTGAGCTGAATATTGACCGTGTATGTTATCGCTTGTTACTTCAGTCAGTTATATATAAGGATAACTCGAGTTTTCCTTTCGTTTGTGTCACAATCTGATTAAAATACAGATCTATATTTCGTTTCGTTTTTTTATACATTCGATGGCCTACATTACATGAAGATCTGACAAGTTATAGCGATAGGTCACGTCAGGGGTCAAAAGACTGACTTATGACCCTATGTTGTCAGACATTTGAGTAACCAATCAGCATTGATGTTACTAGTGGATTACCCACAGTTCCGTGCAAAACACGCTTAAAGCTCGCCTTGACAGACCGTTTCATTGGCTTATCCCGGGGCACCATTCAGAACACGAGGTTAAATAACAACTCTTCCAGATCCATGTGTAGTAAAGACAAGTAAAACGAAATTTTGAACTATAAAAATGAAACGAAATAGGATCTGTGTTTTAACCAGATTGGTTTGTGTCACTTCCCATTTCTTCAAATCTTTGTTAAGCATCTACTGTAGCAATGATCTGTGTGTTAAAAATATAATTGGAATGTGTTTAACTAGTTCTATCACATATGTAATAATGGCTAACACCAACATTGTCCTTTAACAATATCAATGCATAGGATGTGTCTCTTTTTTTTTATTAGAGAAGAGCCCAAATTTTAAATCAATATTTACTAAATAATGATCAGTTAGCTGTGAAAAGTTTACTGATAAACATGAATAACACTTGAGAATTAAGGAATAAATGTGAAGTCACGTTATGTGTTTTCAAAAGCAGAATTCTGTCTAGTGTGTAAATAATGTAGTCAAAAAAACCCAACGCAGCTTGTTAATTTAAAGAGGCATGTTATGCTAATAAATTATTCCGGTTGGAAATAATTCTATGAGACAATTGTTTTGAATATTAGTAGACGTTTGGCTAATCTCATTCATAGTTTTTTATTTATCAAATATTTGAACAGTTGCACAGTTAGGCCAAATCAAACTAATTTCCGAAAGTGGTATTCGTAACCACAATGTTTATGAAGAGAGATTACCATGTTACCAAAGTGTTCACCAATAAAGGTTACCATGTAACCACAATATTTACAAATAAAGATTACCTGGTAAACACTGTCTTTATGAATACTAACCCTTACCGTAACCCCTAGCTTATCTTCATAAGCTTACCCTAACTCTACCAAACCCAACCCTAGGCTTACTTTAGTAATCAATAAACTCTTTCATTATCTGCCCCCCACCTGTCTGTCCTTCACACTTTTGGAACACAATTTATCTCTTACTAATTGAGCTAGAATGTTCAAACTTGGTGTAGATGTTTATTAGGTGAATACCTTGACTAAGTTCGATGATGAGAATTTTCTGCTTAGGATTAGTGGTAATAAGCAATTTGATTGGTCAAAACTTTGGAACTAACAACTTTGCTTTTAATTGAGGTAGAATGTTTAAACTTGGTGTAGATGTTCATTAGGTGAATAAGTCTTGACTAAGTTCAATGATTAATATTTTCCGCTAAAGCTAAGCAGAGCTAAGCTATTTCATTGGTTGATGCTTTGTGACAAGATAACTTTGATTCTAACTGATGGAGAATGATGAAACTTAGTGTATAGTTTGACTACCAGGTACTTCAAAACCCTGACTGAGTTTGATCATAAACATTTCTGCTTAGACCAAATACTTTTCAAAAAGATAAATGTGCAATTAATTAATATCGTGTAATTTATTTATTTGGGATTGTGACAGAGGACATCAGCCTCACTGTCATGTTCCTGAAGCAACGACTGCGAGTTTCACAACATCTGGCCGTTGCTTGTTTACTTTACAATTCCCGAACTTATAGCTATGTTATCTACAGACATGTGAGCAGTAGTGTCCAATCAGAGGTTGTGACATCGCGACCTCCACTGAAACCTTGACATTGAATGAACCTTGAACTTTGCAACTCGATTATAACATGTAAACATTTTAGCTTGAAAGCGCGAGACTTGGTATTCGCGACGATCGAGGAATCTGATAGGCTCACAAGTTAGGCTTGTACCCAATCGGAATTAGTGCCGCATTATGCAGGGTACATGTATTACATGAAGGCCTTGATAAGATGTACGTAGTTAAAGTTACAATTTCATATTTTTAAGTTATATTTTTAAAATATATTAAAATAAAGCCCTAAAATAGATGCTATCTATAAACAGTCCTACCATGTTAAAGAATAATCCTATTAATCCTAAAATTCACTATTGCCAGTTGAGAAATTGGCAAAAATATCATTTTCAACTTCAAATTCCAACGTTTGAAGATAGCTATTCCATGGTGGAGAATAGGAAAACAAGGGAGGTAATTGTGTTATTATTTCCGGCGTGAAGATTTTTAAGTGTGAGAAAGATAACCTATGATCGTATAATAGTGAGTTGACAACCTATTGAGCAAAAGACATGGAAATAATTACGTTTTGACTTTCTTAGAAAATATGAAAATGTAACTTTAAAGCGAGATCAAGCCTTCTATTGAAGATGCCTCATTGTTGGCTAGTTTTTTTACTTATTCATGGTCTTGATATATAAGTAGCCACTAGAGTCCTGTCAACGTTTGTCTTTCTGTTTATTTTAAAACTTGGATGATAAAAAATGCAAAACTAAATACCTTTCAGAAGAACAAACAAGTCCTTTTTCTTTTTAAATTGATTTCCCCTCCTCAAGAAAAAAGAAGCCCAATTTCAATAGATGCTCCGGAAGAACAAATGTTTTAATTGGTGTGGGCTAAGTATTACCATAATTGTTTAATGAAAGACTACAACATGCAAATTGGTTTTCACTCTCAACAAAACGTAATTTAATATGGTGACATCCACTTAAAATGTTTGATTTACATGTAAATATATGTCTTTCAATGTGTTGATAATGATCTTTTTTTGAAGCTTAGTCGACATAGATTGTGAAATAAAATGAAATGCGGTTAAATAACGTCCTACTTTTCTTCCTTCCAGACCTTCAAGGTGGCCCTTGAATTTTCATAACATTCGAATGATTAGATGCATTTTTTTTCCTTGTCAGACCCTCCGTCCTGTTTCACTGACAAGCAGAAAATAGACTAAAAATTCCTGAGCAATGAACTGAACACTTGGCTTGAAACCAGGACCTCTGGATTATTGAGCCAGCGCCATAGTCATTGAGCCTTTAATGAGAGAGTTTGTTTCATTGCCTGGCAACCTATCTTCCCATTAATTTATACTAATTTACCCAAGGTTGCAAGGACCTGCATTCATTGTACTCGTGTAGCATGCTTTCGTATTTGTTGATTGCAGTACAGGTATTTTGTTATTTGTTGTAAAGTGATGCAACTTGTCAATTGTCAATGATTACTTTGCACTTGTTTAATCCAGGGTCTGGATGATTGTTTACTCAAGCAAGTATTTTATGTCGCCATAAAAATACGGAGTATTAACAACTAAAAAGAATAAACTCTAGGATCGTCTTGATATTGAACAGGTGTATGATGCAACCAGTAGAAATCGAAGTGTTAATAATGTTTATTGAGCAAACTCTGAAAAAAATCAATCCTGTTTGAAATGTTCCATAGCAAATACCGATATAATACTTAATTGTAAGTCACTTAAAATGACTATACGTTTTTGAATTGGGTCAAAAAAAAAAAAGATTATTGAATTTTTACATCTGATATAGATAAAGCCAGTCTTAAGATAAAACCAATTTTGTTTTTCGCGGTCAACACAGTAAACTAAACCTAAATTTAGTAAACAAGCTGAGTTTCTTTTAAGACACCAAAACAAGAATTTAATTCTGTAGTTTAGAGCTTGTCCCATCAACTCAATTCAATGCCTTGATCTTGATATTGAACAGCTGTATGATGCAACCAGTAGAAATCAAAGTATTAATAATTTTTATTGAGCCTGTTTAACCTTGTATATTTTCTCTGGGTCCTCGGGTTCTTCCCACCGCTGAAGACCCTGACCATGTGTTAGACCCGAAATGACCTAGTTTGTGTCAAGTGGTTAGTTACCCCCCCCCCTCTCTCTCTCTCTCTCCCTCTCTCTCTGTCTGTCCGTCCGTCCGTCTGTGGGCCATTCACAATTGATATGTATGCACAGTGTCTATATTTGTTTAAGGAAACGATATTATATAAGCTGATAAAGCTTGTTATCGTATCCTGTATTTATTATATAAATTTTGTAAAATTAATTGAATAAAATATTGTTTAAATAAATATTCATGAGACAGGCCCTAAAATAAAGTTAAATTCTCGTAGCACGGATTCTGTGTCCGAAAATTCAGAACTGACAAATGGCATCTGTGGACTATTCTGACGCAGTTTACATTGGAGTTTATTTGGCTATGCACATCTTTTTTTCGCATGAAAACTCGACACTAGGAAGACAACACACCACTTTTGTTACGATAATATTTAAATCATAATTTAAATTCTATCATCACATCAACATTAGAACTAAAATCCTATCAGTAACAAGGGTACAAAATAATAAAAAAATCTGATTATTGTCTTTTTAAGTCTCTTCAGTGGGTCAGCGCTACCATACACTTTTTTCAGAGCACTACACCATTTTGTTCAGAGCACGGTTTTCTTATTTCCGAAGCACAGATTTTTCATTTCGAAACACGTTCGTGCTCCTAGGCACGTTATTTTAGGCCCTGTCATGAGATGAATATATACTATTCAAAAAAAGTAGGGGATATTTGATTTTGGGGGCATAATACTAAAATATGCAAATGACTACGAAAAAAGTCACTATAGAACCTAACAGAAGAAACATTTCCAGTTACATGTGACGCCCAAACGCACCAATAGCTACCGCATGGAATGCAGGTGATGCTTGGGATCATCATGGGGGTCCAACCCAAGATTTGCACGACTCTGACTTTGAATGTTACAGTCATTGTGGCATTGAATTCCAGGGTGGAAACATCAGTTTAATTGTTTTAGTGACCAGAAAACAAATTTTGATATGCGTCGGCTTACCCAAAATGAAAGGTTACGTGCCCTTGGCATGCTACAGATCGGCACAACACAGGTGGTTGTGGCGCGGACGATGAATGTTTCTCAGTCTGTCATAAGCAGGCTATGGTCCAGATACCGTGATACACAATCTGTACAGGACAGACCACGCTCAGGTCGACCAAGGGCGACAACTCAAGCCCAGGATCGATTTATCCGTACCTTGGCCTTGAGAAATCGTGTCATCACAGCAAATCAGATCAGCGCTCGTCTTCAAACAGACACTGGTGTGAGAGTGAGTGGCCAGACGATTCGGAATCGACTGCATAGGGGTCACCTTCGCGCCCGACGTCCTCGCGTGATCCCTTGTTTGAGAGATCATCACATTCAGGCAAGACGTCGTTGGTGTAGGGATCGTCAACACTGGGATAATCGACGCTGGAGCAATGTGATGTTTTCAGATGAGTCAAGGTTCACTGTTGATTTTTTGGACAGACGTAGGAGGGTGTGGCGTCGTCGAAACGAGCGCTTCCAAGACGTTAACGTCATCCGACATTATCGATTTGGGGGTGGTTCTGTTATGGTGTGGGGAGGCATCACTGTTGCTGGAAGAACGGCTTTACATGTTGTTGCAGGGCGTGTTACAGGCCAGTACTACCGGGACAACATCTTGGCAGTCCATGTTGTGCCGTTCGCACGACGTCATGGCCGCCGTTTCATCTTCCAGGATGACAACGCAAGATGTCACAGGGCCAGGAGCGTTACAGGTTACCTCCAACAACAGAACATCACCACATTACCTTGGCCAGCACTGAGTCCCAACCTCTCCCCCATCGAGCATGTCTGGGACATGCTTGGACAGAGGTTACGTCAACGTCAACAACGTCCTGCCAATGTCCAAGAACTTGCTGCTGCGTTGCAACAGGAATGGGACAATCTGGACCAAAATGACCTTAGACGTCTCATTAGGAGTATGCTACGTCGGATCAATGCTTGTCTGGCAAACAGAGGAGGATTTACCCGTTACTGACTTGGTTGTGATGCTGTGGTAACTTTGCTGTTTGACCCCGGGTATCATTTTACCCTTATAATGGTCAGTCTGTGCCTTACTTAGTCTAACGATCATTTGGAATAAATCGATGAATGTGAACTTCATTTCATTTTGTCATTTGTTTCTTCGTCAGTTTCATTAGGTGACTTTAATAACACTTAAAAATCAAATATCCCCTACTTTTTTTGAATAGTATATAAGCCTATTAAATCAGAGCAATTAAAGACCATGTTTTTATTTTAGTCCTGGTACAATAAGGTAAAATTAAATTATTTTTTTTCAGGTAAATTTGATCATTATTCGACCTACAGCTCAAGCAATAGTAGCTCTAACATTTGCATACTATTTTCTACAACCATTCTTCAGTACGTGTGATCCACCAGAAAATGCCATTCGATTACTTGCTGCCTTATGTATCAGTAAGTACAATTCATTTTCAAGAAAAAAAAAATCTATTTAATTTTTTTGAGACGAGCACAGATTGTACAGTGTGGAAAATAGTATAAAATTTGAAAGACATTTAGAATTTGGTAGTTGATTAAGATTTGTTTCATCTTTTTCACACTTGTTTGGAAATGCATAAAAAGGAATAATAGAATCATGTCACAAACTGTATAACCTGTGTAAGATTGGGAGCCACGTTGGTTCAGTGAGTAAGTCTGTGGCTCACTACTTGAACTTCTAGCGCCCTGGGTTCAATCCATGTGTCGACCGAAAAAGTATCTCAGGATTTTCTGGTGTGGACTTTACACTTGTCAGTGGTGCAGGAAAGATGGTCTGGCAAAGAAGAGCATTTATATGTATTTGTTTGGATGGGTTAAAAAAAACACGCCAGAGATTCCGTGTACAGATTGGCATGCACGTAAAAGAATCCTTGACAGTTGGAAATGGAAGAGTAGCTAGGTGGAAATGCTTCTGCCTGTTTTCATTTCATTTCACGAGTTAGCCATGTTTTTTTTTTATCCCATCCAAACAACTAGGTGATTGTCCTTCACAGGTCGTCCATCTGGAAGGGGGAAACTACTCACTTAGTGAATTCTAAACAAAAAATTGGTTGAAAGAAGCAGCTTTGTTACGAATCTGGGGCCTGTTTCACGAAATTTTAAATAAGATAAAATCCAAATTTTAGTAATTTGATTGGATAATATTAGATTGATTTTAGTGCTAAGCCAATCAAAATTGAAGTGTCTACTAAAATTTAGATATTATCTTTAGTTAAAATATTGTGAAACAGGGCCTGGTACTATAATCCTCAATCAATTCCACTCCTGTTTGCTTTGATGAAACTAATTATCTCTGTTAGGTATGGCTTAATTATCACTAAAACTAATTGACACTAGAGAACGTACATTTTTACTTTCTAAATACATGTACTGGTAGCTTATTACTGTTGCCATGACACAGTTCAGGGTTGTGACGTGTCAGAACCAATAGAAATCTTTGTTATATTAATGAAATGTTTATTGTTAAAACTGGTTCTAATTATAAATACCTCATGTTAAAACAATGTACAAGTTATCCATCAAATGATCTTCTGGGAATTAAAGCCACCATTTTCTCTTAACAAGTACATATTTCTCATTCTCTAAATCTGTACTGTTGCCTATTAATTGGTTCAACACCTGTTATTTATTATCACCCTGTTGGTCCTTCAGTAATATCCTTCAGTAATGATTGGCATGCCTTTTTTTATTGCCTGTAAAGTCATTTGACTAACATTTATGACAAAACATTAAAGTTGCAAAATAATTAAAGAGTTTTTGATTTAAGATGGGTTTTCATCAGATCTGTTTTTCTTTGATGTTTTTTTGACATTTTTGTCGCATAACAACTTAGATTTTTACGAAGGTCGTAAACATTTGTTTGTTTGTAATTGCATCATGGTCTATTCTTATCTGATGTTTTACAATCAATGATGACGTAATCAAGTGAGATTTGTAGTTCAGTTTACACATTGATTGGTGGGATTAAATGACTGACTGATGTCAAGGTTTTAAATCGATGAAATCTACATGGAAAACGAATCTCATAGAAATCTGTCCTTCTTAGATAAGAAATAAAAAAAACCTCTTGAAATGTTGATATCTTAATGAAAATATTTATGATTGAAATTTTAAATTACGGTACTGTTAATAAGATACCATATCAATGTTTCAAATACTTTCGGGACAATATATCTTTAAGGAATATAGTATTTTTTTTTTATTGATTTGAATCATCAGCTTTTTGAATGTTGTTATGACTTGTTTGAGATGTCAATCGTTGTACAAATTTCTGCTGAAGATTTAATTTCGGCACCCTTGGTCCAGTCAATGAAAAAAATCAAAAAAATCAGTACTATACTATAAGAAGTCTACTCCAGTATGTAAACAGCAGCTAAGTTCTTAATATGTTCAGTTCAGAAGGTACTTATATTAGCACTTTATTGATTTTGACTAGGCAGTGAAATTAATTAGTTTTACCTGTGGTAATAGGTATGCTATGTCACCCACCTCACAAATTACAAGGTTTTCAGGATATTTGTAATGCAATTCAAGTAAATGTTTGAAGTGTTGTTTTGTGCGGTATACTTGATAAAGAAATCTGTTGTAGTCTAGTTTGGATGGTAATTGGTAAAGAAATATATTTATTCTTTCTGAAAAACATAGTATTTGTACTTAATAAACTCTGTGCTTGAGGTAAACAAGATTCAACTGTTTCTAAACAAAATGTCACAACTTTTAAGTGTCAAACAAATTTGTTGTGTTACAAGTGCTTGTATTTGTGTGTAGAAAAGCAAACCACGATACCGATACCATACCGTAAACAGTAGATAGCATCTGTCAAGATGTTAATCCAAGCCAAGCACAATAAATAATTGGTTGAAGAGACATATATATTTTGTCTACTTATATCACCCTGAGTGAGAGTGGATGTAAGCCATCTATTAGTAGTACCTATGCTCACTCAGGGTTCAAATTGCTTCCAATTTAGATCATAAGGTCTGTCATTGAGTCAAGTGATATGGTTCTGCTCCCAAGCTTGGATGTGACAACCTCATGTTTTTTCTGAGTCGTCTGGTATTCTACCACGATGAGAAAACAAATAATTGAAATAAAATTGTATCCATATCTTAGTCCTGAATGGAAAGTTCATCAGAATTTTCAGACGTGGTTCCACCTTGTCAGAGGGCCCACATGTCCAGAGACAATGTATAGTCGTTCTGATGGGACAAAAAATCAAGGTGTTCATGTAAAAGAACCCATGGCAGTTGGAATTCGATATAAGAGTAGACTGTAGCGTCACTGTCAAGGCAAAATTGCCCTCATATATAGCACTCTGTATGGTGTATGCCCCTCTTTATTAGCCCTGTCGGAGCAGAACAGTAGGATATTAAACATAATTTTTTTCTTCAGTTTTGCATGACTTTAGGAGTGTGTTTTAAAGAACATCTATTGTTGTCACTCACCATAAAAAGACAGCCATGGACCTTGCACAGTGCTGCCATCACTTCATCAGATTCTGTCAAGGGTTCTTTTACATATCTGACAATATGGGACCTTAGATTTTTGTCCTATCTGGCCTCTGACCTGCACTGCTGACAAGGGAGAATACACTGGAAAAATCTGGGAAACTTTCTCAGTGAACACCAAACCTATTTGTCATTGTCCAAAAAATATTACCAAAGTGAAGGCCAATTTGTAGGTGTGTTTGCTTTTAAACAGGTGAATTACAGCTTCTCTCGTTATACTGTGACAAGCTATGACAAAATAGTTCCACTAGAGGTCGTGAGGTAACAGCTGAAGTAGATTAACAAAATATAAGAGAAATAATGATACAGTATATTGATTTACATGTAGATAGACTGCATTTCTTTTTTATTTGACAAAAAAAGTAGGCTAAAGTTGGGTTTTACATAGCATGTTTTACAGACCTGGAATTATAATGGCTCTAGTTGTACCTGACAAAATGTCAGACACTATTAATGAAATATTACCTGACATTTTGACCTTTGTGTCGGACATTTATTATAAATATCATTAAAAACACTGATAAAATACAAATATATACTGGACAAAATGACAGGCACCATGTAAGGCCTATATGTATCTGACAAAGTCGGAACATGTGCCTGGTAATGTCTATTTCCAGGATAAAGGAATGTATATAATAGTAATACAAGATGCCTAAGTTCAGCCTAACCCAGTTTTATTTTTCTGCAAAACTACGACTTTTTGTTTGAAATTTTAAGTATGGTAGTATATGTTTGATTTGAGTTGTGTCTTTTTTCCCGGGAGGGTAGGGGGAGGGAGGTGCAATACAAATAACTCCCTGTGTGACACAAACTCTGGCCACACCACTGATGGGCCACATCAATGTTTACACTTTATCACATGGTACATGTATATATTGAGTAACCCGATTCCTTGAAGAAAATGAGAGAAATGTGATATATATATTGCAGGTACAACGATGGACATACCGAAACAGTCTGAAATTACTGTTCATTAGACTAGTCCAGATATGTGAAATTTAGGACGGTTTCGGTTTCGGGCGGTCTAAGCATTAAAGGGTTAAAATCGGTCATGACTGGATAATGGATATAATATACACATGTATATGAGAGATGGGTGATCCATTTTCATAGCAAACATTCCTCCACATTATACTCTTGACACTAATCATGAAAAAATGTAGATGAACAATATAAAATATGACCTGTATTGTTAAATAATAGAACAATTAGAGCCATATGTAGCCTATATTAACCAATTTGGGGTTATACAGTAGTTTTATTATGAGAATTTTATGACACAGTACAGTTAACATCTGTAAAACAGTAATTGTTTCCCAGCCAAACAATTATTATTGATACCACTTGAATAGGTTATATAATTTATGGCAACTGTCAGTCATTATTTGATAATTTTAGATATTAAATAAGATTACTTTAACATAAATTTATTAAAGAGCATATTGCTCTATTTTTTGGACCCCTAAAATAGACGAAAATGGGTCTAAAACCATGGGTTAAAGATACATTAGTTAAGATTTAGTTAAAGAGCTGACCATTCTTGCTATAATAGTTCGAAAATAGATAATGCAAAATGAAAATATTGAAAATTTCATTTAAATTACTTTATTCTGACCCAAGTTATCACTGTTTGTAGTTTTGACAAGATGTGTGCATTGTGGTAATCAAAGCACTGGTATATTCGAGACTTAGCCTGGCTTTCCAATTTTTAAATTAAATTTTTAAATGGCGAACCATTCTAAAATCTGGTCTTGTTTTGTTAATAAATGTCTAATTAATAGTTTATATAACATTTCAGGCCTAAAAAAGACGTGCAATAGGCAGATTTAGCTCTTACATAATGTATGTTTAAGAGTTTGAATTAAATCATAAATCTGGAAGTTGTACAATGATCTTCGAGTTGTT